GTTGATCCCAAACACTCCTTACACTCCCACCATCTGACAAAAAAATGACTGGGGACGTATGTTAATCCCGCTCTTGATACTGCCAGAGCCCCCAGAAAACTTCACCTGGTGGTGACATGGGCACAAATTTGTTTTGGCATCAGGACAAAGCAAAGTGTGAAAGACTGAAGATTGCTCCTAAATGTGAGATTTGTGGCCTAGAGCCCTAGGATACCACACGCAAACCGAAACAGCAGGCTGCAGTCAAGTTATTCCTGATAATTAAAAAAATATTTGATGCCAAGTGGACCCGTGGCAAAGCTGGGCCCTCTCGTGTCGAGTGTGGGCATCACAGCCGAGCATCCCGTCCTGCTGAGTGCTCATGCTGAAGGGAAGAGCTGGGCTCCCGTCCCAGCCGTTTCATCTGCAGTGATACCAATGCACTGGTTACCTGTTGGTTTATGGTGACGTGCATAACCCTTGATCACTCAATTGCTCCTTAGTGCACACACAGCTCCTGGGAGCCACATAACGTGTGAACCCAGATCTGACCAAAGGAGTTTGGTGAGTTGCAAATTTTCCCTGGTGTGTGAAGGAGGTAAGGGGAGAGGTGGTGGGCTCTGCCCAGTCATTAAATCAAATTACTCATTTAAAAATATCTATATATTTATTGAGGTTTGTCCCAAAATACTATTTTTTCCATCTGGAAAGACCGTGTGCAAGTTGCAGATTTTTTTTTTTAAAAAAAAACAAGATTTGCCTGTACATTTTTGATGATGGACAGCTGATTACCAAATCCCAACCAGTTTCTGCGCATAGGGAAGTCCTGGGAAGGTCATGGACTTGCAGTGCCTGCATTTGTCGGCGGTCAAGCTGTAAACTCACGACACCCTGAACGTGCTGCATTCCCTAAAAACAAACAAATAGTCTACAGGAAGTGCATGTGCTTAATAAACACGAACTGGGCTTCTACCTGGGAAACCCTACTTAGAGTTATGGGATTTCTGCGCTTGGACCTTTCTTCCATCCTGCTCTCTTTGCAAGAGGGACCCTCTTTAAGGAAGAACAGGGGTTCATGCTGGCTGGGAAATGCTCTCCTGGATGCCTGGGATGGGAAGGGGATGGGAAAGGCCAGACTCTGCAGGCAGCTTGTTCACAGAGGGGACAGGAGCTGGGAACTTGCTTGGCAATTGCAAAGAGTCTCTTTGGTTTGGCAGGTGTTCTCAAAATGGAAGATTTTATCCTGTGTTATGTAATGCAACAGAAGGTCCAGATCCAAGTTTCTGGCAACTTCTTGCAAGGAATAATTTTTCTAGTTGAAATACTAGCCTTAGCTTTGAATTTCCTGGCTCATATAATAAATATATTCAAAATTATATGTGTATACATAACTGCTACTGTTTGAAATTCAGTGGTTTATGTAAATTATCTTTTGTTTGTAGCTGTTGGATGATGAAGAGCTGAAAATCTCTGTTCAATGAGGATTATATAAATGCATCAAGACTAATTAAAGATAGAGTAGATCGAAGAGGTTGCAGATTTTGTGTGTGTGTGTGTGTCAAATTGAAGCAATAGACTTTCAAAATACCATGAGGATGTGAGTTGGGATAGAGCTGTGGACTAGAATTCAAGTTATCTGGTCCTGGCTTCATCTGTGGTATGTTGTAGTCCAAAGAAATAGATGACTTAATTTAGTGCCTCATTTTCACCCTTAATCACCTCATGTGAAGAGTCTTTGTAGTGTAGCTTGGGTGTGGATAGCCAGGTGTGACTTCAGACTAAATTAAACATGCTCTGGTAATGCACAAACCATGGGTCATCAGCAAGACATGGTGATAAAACCTTCTGACATTTCCCAAGACTGCAGGAAGGGAGAAACCTCTAGGTGAGAGTGATGTGGGGAGAAGAATATGCCCCTCTCTGTCATCTATGCTGTTTCCTGGCCCAGAAGATGTAGGAACTGCTGCTCCATGGACTCATGAGCTTCCATAATGGGACTAACTTCCCAAGGAGGTTTATCTACAGCAAGTTTTATCTGTTTTGCTAGTCCAAAAGAAGGTACTCTCTCAGATGTAAAAGCTTTTTAACTTCAGATTAAGGCCCCTGTATACCTTGTTTCCCCAACACAAGTTATCTTGTGGTCATCAAGGAGAGGAAAAGAAAGGCAGAGGCTGGCACACTTTGTGGGCAGCCTGAGCAAATCTGTTCTTTTGAAGCCTCCAGCTTTACTTCTGACTTCATAAGGCAAAGTGACGAGCAAACTCATCATCGTAGAGCCTGCTCGTCAGGCCTACGGGGGAACAGTCTGCCTCAAGCAACAGCGTTGAGGGAGAAATACGAGAGATTTCTTGATGTCAGCTATCTAAAGACCTCGCTCAAAGTTGCTGAGGATTTAGTGTAGTGTTAGCTGAGGTTCCACAAAGGTTGATGCTAATATAGAAGTTGATGAAGGACAAAGGAGAGTTTTATCACTCCGAAGTGATTAATGTTTCCTAGATAACTTTGAATCTTTCCCTTTTGCTTCTGCCACTTGTTTTCTACAGGCACTAAGTAGGGCATGGGCAGAGCCTGTCTGGTGTCATGCAGTCAGAGATCAGGAGGAACCTTCTGTTGCCTTCCAAATCCATGGGTGAGAAAATACTGAAAAAAAAAATAGTTTAGATGGTAGAAAATGAGAAACACTGGGAAGTAAACTGAATTGAGTCTGGGAGAACTGATAGAGCAAAGAATGGAGCAAATACAGGGAGAGTAAATTGTGTTGGGGAATAAACTGAAACATACCTGGAAATTATATTCCCTGGAGCATGTACCTATTGCAGATTGCAATTCCTTGCCACACGTCACCTGAGGAACAGGAGTAGCAGATGGGAGTGTATCTTGTTCTTCCGCTTGCTGGGGGGACACTGAAGACCCCACAGCAGGATAAAACAAAAGGCCACGTCCTGCCAACCATGCTCACAGGAAAGTTTCTAGTGGTTAAGATGCTGGGTGAATTGGGAAGGCCAATGCATTTCTGCCATGTTAGTAACGAGGGAGAAGGTGGTGCTGGGAAGGCCAATGCATTTCTGTTAGCATGTTAGTAACGAGGGAGAAGGTGGTGGTGTTTAGTCCCATCTGTTCCCTCCGCTTCCCAAATTGCTTTTCCCTTTCCATTTTTGCTGCCGTTCTCCCCTCCTCTGCCTCCACTTCCACTGCAGCCCTTTGTGTTGCTTCAGTTCTGGTGTCATGGCTCATCACGTTGTCTCCTCTGTGGCCCTGGCTTGTCTTCCAGTTCTGAGTTAGTAACATGAATGATTACTCTGGAGCCTAACGAGAGGGATCAGACATGACTCTAGGGCATATCTGAGCCCTTTAACATTTGTGAATGTAAAGCTTAAAGATCTGCCACGGAAGTTTATTTTTAAGCTTCCTGAGAAGATAAATTTGAACGTTGGCTTGTTTAGGGCATAAATAATATAACTGAAATTACTCCAAGGAGCAATGCCCTCGAGGCTTTGAAGAATCCCAGGGACAATTATCCAGCGCTTGTAATCCCAGGGAGAATTATCCAGCTTTTAATGGATGATCACGTTTTTCCTCACATTGGCTAGTCTGAAAGCTTGAAACTGTATATTAATATTAACCCTTGATTTGATTTTAAGAGTAGCGTAAATGTTTTTGTCATGTGATTATTGTCCAATACCAGGAAATATAAAAATAAAATTATTGTGCAAAATATAAACCCTAAAAAAACAAAGAACATTTTTAGAACTTGTTCATGTGAGGTCTCATTTTCACCGTGTTGAGAGGTGGTGCAAGCTGTTTAGTTCCTGCCTGCTAGAGCACGGCCAGGCTAGAGCATCCTCCAACTCGCCTCCCCCGGTGATGTTTCACCAGGGACCGGAGCTGCGGCTCGGCAGAGCTGTCACCAGCAGTGCAGTTTGGCCCTGGTGAGATGAGGTGTCCACGTGGTGACTCATGTACCCGCACACCATCAGCTGATGTGATGCAGAGGATTAGTCACCGCTGGTGCTGATTACCCTTTCACAGGCTCCCGAAGGACCAAGGGTCACGCAGGCAAAGCAGCTGAATCCGTCCTCCCCCTCTCCTGCCGCTGGTTTGCAGGAGACTCTTGGTACTGTCTCGGCGTGCTCCTCACCAGACTGGCTCATATCAGGATAAAATACCCCATTTTATCCTGAATTCTATGACTGCCCTTGCTCTTTGGTTGCAAGCCCTGTTGTGCAGTGGGACTGGACCTGTAGTGTCCGGTGTGTCTGGTGTCCCGCTGCATGGTGGTAGCTCCCTCTTCAGCAGCTCCAGAGGAGCCTTCCAAACCATCTGGGGTTCATTGAGGAGCTGAAACTCTTCACCCTATTCTTTATTTTCTTCCTATTCTCCTTATTCCTCTTATTTGGCTCTAGCTCCTCACCTAGTGCCTGACAAAATTAGGTACTAATACCCTGTCCGCCTGTTCTGCAATGTCTCAGCTGATGGTTCATCTTTCTCTTCACTAAGTTTCTCATCCCGTTACCCAGCCCAGTCTCAAGTGCCACCAAGTACCTGGCCACAGTTGGGCGAGGACACTGCCCTTCTGCTTCCTTGTCAGGATGTTTCCTGACCCGACACCTCCAGTACAATCTTTTCTTCATGTCACAACTGGTCGCAACCATCACAACCTTCTCCTCTGGCTTTTGTGCCAACAGCACCATCAGTTGTGCAGGGGAGGATGTTGGATTGGGCTCTATGTGTGCTTTTTTTCTTCCTTTTTTTGCCAAACCACCAGCACGTGGCATTTTCACGGAGCCAGGCAAGATGGCCCAGGAGCTGCAACCCGGTGCTGGTTTTGCACCCGTTGCCATCAGGCCCATTAGGCCGGACTCTGTGGGCTTGGAGACCGGAGCACAAGGAGCCTTTCCCTTTATCTCGGGAGCGCCAGCGTGGCCTTTGCTCTGAGGATTTGGAGGAATAAAGTTCAACGGGAATGAAAGGGCATATCCGGCGCGGGAGGGAGACCACACGGAGCCGCCGGCGCTTCCGCTCACCTCGCGTTGCGCTCTCTCTTGCAGCTGCGTAAATGAGTATGGAAGATTATGATTTCCTCTTCAAAATTGTTTTGATCGGCAACGCCGGTGTGGGGAAGACCTGCCTAGTGCGACGCTTTACTCAGGTAAGACGGGGTGTCCGCCATGCGCGCGGGGATGAGGTGGGAATGTGCTGGATGCCTTCGGACAGGGAATGGCTTCCAAGTGACCAGCACAAGTGGAATGGGCTAATGCCGTAGGGGAGCTCCTGGGGTCCTGGTGCTTGGACAAACACGTCCCTCTCCAGGACGGGAAATCTTCTGTAGAAGCTACTGGGAAAACTCCTCCTGATTTTGGCCATAACATCTTTTGGTGCATTTTCCAGTGTGTCTTTTCTGTGTGATCTTTCCAAGGTGGAAGAGGCAAGTCAGTCTGCTTGTGCAAAAAGCTGACTTTTACGATTATTATTATTATTATTAGATAATTAGATAATCTCAGAGTTTGGGACCATAATTCCAGTGTCTTCTGGGCTGCTGGCCTGGGGCAAATCTGAGCTCCCTTCTTCTGGAGTTTTGCATGCAGAGCTCCAGGAAACCTTGCTTAAGAGTGAGGATTGGCAGGTCTCATCTGTCAGCCTGACTGTAGAAAATTAATCAACTGCAAAAATTTGAGGACTGGCTTCCTTTTTTTCATAAAAGACTGGTGGGGAAAGGACCAGACTTCTCTGATCTAGGCTGAGAGAAGTTTGCACGATGTGATATATAATGCAAGTTCTGTTTTTTGTTGCTGTGTTTTTGCTTGCTTGTTTTCAATTTTCCCTGGGAGTTGTCAGCAGCCTCCCGCAACTGTTAGTTCCATTTTTAAAACCATGGTGATGTTAAACGCTCTCTCCTCTTGAGCATGAAGAGCTCCTAGCAATAAAACCCAAAGGGTTAATTGAGAAATCTGTAACTAGCTCTGCTGCTGCTTGTGCTTTGGCAGCACTGCTGCTGCCACTGCTCTAAGAGATGGATACGCCCCAAAATCAACAGGACTGTAGGCCTGGACACCAGAAATCAAAAAGCTCTGTTGTTTGTTGGGTTTTTTTTCCTTTTCTTTTTTTCTTTTTTCTTTTCTTTTTTTTTTTTTGGGGTTGCTGTTACTCCTTTTGGATGGCATCGAGATTGAATATTGCCAGAACCGCGACAGTCGTGGCCCCCGACATTGCTGCGGTGCCAGTAGCGGCTCAGTGCGTGTTTAGCTCAAGCTGCTGTGCAGGGACACGAGCCTGTGACATGGGGCCGGGCAGAAATGGCCTTCGATGCACAGCGGAGGGGAAGGGGAAGGACACGAGGCAGCTGGAACAAAGTCATCTCACCTAATCTTGCCTCCTTGCCCTTTTGCGCCCACATCTTTAAAGGAGTTACAACATTGGATCAGAAAGGCTGCCATTGTCAGCAGCCTGTTCAGAAGCAGAAGGGCTTTTCCTTCTATTTTCCCTTTATTTGTTCCCTTTTTCTTCTCCCATTTACTTTGTGACCTCTCGAGTCAGTTACTCAAGAGTTACAGGATTAGGGAGCTGGGAGCAGGGAAACACGGCGGGGTTGAGTTATGGTAACCCTTGTACTGTGGGGAATGTCTGTTTTATTCCCTGCAAGATGCAGAAACAGATTTTGCAAAATCCCGTCTCCCAGCTGGATTTTCAGTGTGGTCAGGGCCGGATCAGCATGCAGCGCCAGACTCCAGGCGCCCTCCCTGGTGCAATGCAACGAACAGTGGCACCTTTTAGTGCATTTAGAGCTGTTTTCCTATCTAAATGTGGTTGGAAAGGAGGAGATGTAGGTGGAGTAGTATGGGGGATGAAAAAGGGTGAGGATTGGTACCCAGAATTTTTCTTTTCTTGCTACAGAGCTTGCTTAATGAAACTCTCCTTTTCTTCCAGGGGCTTTTCCCACCAGGTCAAGGAGCCACGATTGGGGTTGACTTTATGATTAAAACTGTGGAGATCAACGGTGAAAAAGTAAAGGTAGGAGCCTGCTGGTCCTAAGCTCAAACTCAGATAGCAGTGCAATGGTTCAGGTCATCCTGCTGCTAGGAGGCCCATGGACACTACTGGTGTGTGAGGTTCTGCATCATGGCTCAGAAGATGCTGAGTGTCACACTTAGTACCTGCGCCCCACTTCCCAACTAACATCAGTATCAAAATAGTGAACTTCTAAGAAAGAAAACAAAAAGTGGAGGTTTTGGAGAACCCTCTTTTGGTTTATAAGGCACTGAGATCTTGCCTGGATGGGGTATGGAGATGCAAAGAACCGTTTTAATGAAATCTCCATTTGTTTCTGGTGAGCTGAAATCTGTCACATTCTCCCTGGCATGTGCTGGGAAAAGGTTTTCTCCTGCCAAGCTCTTGAGACTCCTGGAGGAGCTGAGCAGGTGTCTGGGCTTGGGAGTGGGGAGGGCTCTGCAGAGCAAAGGCTTGTCCTGCACTTCTGCTGAGTTACGAGTTTAGGAGGAGTTGGGGCTGTGGCAATACTGGCGCTTTGGGCCTAAGGGATAAAGGCAACAAGGACCCAAGTCCGCATTATTAACCCTTTTGGCCTCCAAAATAGGGTGGCCCTGTCCCAACTGCCTGCTGGCAGCTGTCCTTGTGCTGGGCTAACTCTTGACCTGATCCTGCATGTCCTTTGGCTGAGAGCAAGTTGCCCCAGGCCAAAACAAGCCAGAGCCCAGTCTAACAATATCCCGCGATACCCGTTTGGGAGCTGATGCTGGCTGGCATTGCTTAGTTCTACCTGCACAAGGGTACAGACCAAGATAATGTGCTGCCCATTGCTTTGGAAGTGGGATAGAGCAGCAGGCCGGAAAGCAGTGCCAGCCTGACAAGCACAGACAGATTCCAAATAACTCAGTGTAAATTTGAAGCCCTTTTTTTTTTTTTTGACAGTCGAAGTCAAGTGGAGTTACCCTCAGCAAGGACTTGTCTGTTTGACTGGTTACCTACGACATTAGCCTTTCCGTTCTGGTTTGGCCTGAGGGTGGAGGCTCTTTAATGGAGAGAAATTTGTGGTCATAGTTATGCCAACGTGGGTAACTCAGAGACAGGGATGTGCAAGGAGTGGGATCAAGCTGAGTGTGGACTTATTTGTATTTTGAATCCTTGTTGCCCTCAAAACATCCAATAAATGCACGAGTAACCATCAGAGCAACATTTTTTTTTTCTTTTCCAGCCGGGGCTGGGTTGTGTTCAACAGAGCCGTTGGCACGTGCTAGTTGGTGTATATTCATGTAGCAAATAGGAGGCGTCGTTAAGTCAAAGCTCCCCCTCTTCCATCAGTGGAGTAAGTTGAAATCACCAGAGTTCAGCTGATGAAGTGATATGCAAAGAAATGCCATAAATTTACTCATTTGAACTATCCTTCCAAAGTCTAGAATTCAAAATGGTTTCTTTCCATGCTTCCCATGAGTGCAAACAGGCAGTGATCCGAAACTTCTTGAATAAACAGAGCTAGTTGGAGTAAACACTTCATGGGCGAGCGGGAAAAGCAGAATGACGCAGAGCAGCGAGGGATAAACCCGGCATCCCCTCGCCCCGAGCGCTTGGTGGCTCCTGGCGCGTTCAGCGGCACCCAAGTTGTGACTCCCCTTCTGGTCTGGGCAGATTGTCCTGCACATCTGCCAGGACCCAGGATTAGAGAGTAGCACTGCTTATCAAACAGGTGTTAAATTTTAAAAAGAAAAGATAATTTGCTTCAGAATCACATCCCAAAGGTGGTAGAGAAGGATCTGCCAGCACAAGGGCTTCACAAGTCACTTCGGATACAGGGATGACTCCCGACGCTCCGTGACAGGCTGCCTGTGAAAGCCAAGGAGAGCGTCTGCTTCCCTTCCTGCTCTTTGCGTGCGTAGCCGTGAGCACGGGAGGCAGCGCCGTGCAGCTCGGAAGGGGCTCTGGTCTCTCTGATGTTTTCTAGCAGCCTCAGAAATATGCCCAGCATCTGTCGTATCTGCGAGGCTGCTGCCGGGGAGGAAGCTGCGCCTGTGATCTTCCTGCGCGGGCAGAAATGTTCACGTGCAGAAACATAAATGTGCTGGAAGTGCTGGGAGATGGGGAAGCATCAGCTGGCCCCAAACAATGAAGGTCTGAGTGATTTCTGTAGGCTGAGTCAGGCACTAACCTTCAGTAGCGCTGAGAAACGGGTAGGAATGAGCTGGCTGCTGTCAGATCTTTCACGCGGCAGAAATACGTTGATCAGTAAAGTGCAAGACATGCATTTGGTCTCAAAGTCTGTTCTATCAGTCTTAAGTTCTAAGGCTTTTTTCCTGACGTCCCTACCTGTCTAGCAGGTAGGTTCACGGTAGTAGTCGATAACGGGACCCTCTTCCTCAAAGCAGCCTGGTGCAGCCCATTTGAACTTCCAAATCTGTTCCATTAAAGCAATGGATGAACAGAGCCACATCAGAAGGCCTTATCACCTCACACATCCTAATAAATACTAAGCATTTGTAAACTCATTAACCAGTAGATCTTGAGAAACAGATGAACAACAACAAAAAAATCTGTCTTTTTCCCCATCTGCCAGAGTCTGAAAGCAGATTTGTTTTAAAGAGAAGTTGGTCGCTATCTGAATTTTACGTGCAAGTAATTTCATTTACAGGTTTATGTATCTTAAATGCAGGTGCCATGTCAGCCATCTAAACACAGCTGTGTCAAGGGAATAGGTAGCAAGCTGCCTAGGAGTTGTGAACCAGCCACGTTTTTTTTTCTTTGCAAAATGTACTTATAAAAAATGATAGCCCCCTGTATCTGTGAGATGTGTATTGGGGCTGTCATTTCAAAGTAACATATTTAGGATGGTTAGCTGATGTGGTTCGGCTTTGGAACTCAGCAAGAATAATGTTTGCTCTGTTGCAGATTACGCAACATATGGAAAAAATCCCAAGTATTTCAACTTCTGCTGCCCAAAGTACACTAAATTCTGGCAGGAAATCTGCCTTTCACATACTTAACTCCAGGGAGGGGCATTTTAAAAAATAACAGCTGGAGCAGAGAAATACTCTCTGAAGTTTTAACTTTGGATATTTGTTTCTTTGCATTTCGAAATACTGAAAAAAATCATCAGATGGTCAAATTAGAAAAATGAGAAGAGTTTGATCCACACTGGGAAATGTCTTATTTGTTGTCCTCCTGGCCCCAGAGAGCTGTGCTAGCACCGCTTGAGCCTCAGGAGCTCTTTCCTACGGACAAAGCGGTGTCAACCACTTCTGTGTATGGGGAGGGACAGCAGCGAGCAGCTGGGTGCTGCCTCCCAAATTGTGGAGGGAAAGGCAGAAACCTGGGATCGGCTGCAAGTCTGAGCTCTCTGTTTACTGCTGCGGTTTCCACCCCCTTGATAGCTCATCTCAACAAAACCAAATAATTTTGGGAGCTAGAGGAGAGGCTTTCTCACCCCTCCTGCGATGGGCACTGCTGTCACTGCAAAGCGCCTGGGGATGTCTGGGCGTCTGGGATGTCTGGGCAAGGAGCAGGAGAAGCGGATTTCTCCCTCTGGCGCCTGGGTTGTAATTCCATGCTGGCAAAGCCGAGCGTCTGCTGCCGAGCAGGGTGCCAGGAGTCACACGGAAGCTTGAAAACACAGAGCCCTGGAACAGGCTGCCCAGAGAGGCTGTGGAGTCTCCTTCTGTGGAGATCTTCCAAACCCGCCTGGATGTCACCCTGTGCCCCGTGCTCTGGGTGTCCCTGCTGGAGCAGGGGGGTTGGACCAGATGATCTCTAGAGGTCCCTTCCAACCTCAACCATTCTGTGATCCTGTGTGGTTCTGTGAAAACCCTGGGCTTCCTGGGGACGTCGACTGGAATACCAACTCAGCCTGGGCTTTGCATTTCAGTCTCTAAATGCAGAAATGGAAACAAAAATCTCTGGGGAAAGGGGAAGCCAAAGGGGAGAAGAGCTAAGTGTTTTCCCAGAATCGCTTTTACCCCAAAGGGGGGAAAAATGTGGTCAAAAGGGTGCTGCTCTCAAAGAATGTTAAATGGGTTCTTTTCTCTTTCTCCGCTCCCTCTCGTTGTGCGAGAAGCTGCAGATCTGGGACACGGCCGGCCAGGAGCGGTTCCGCTCCATCACGCAGAGCTACTACCGCAGCGCCAACGCGCTCATCCTCACCTACGACATCACGTGCGAGGAGTCCTTCCGCTGCCTGCCCGAGTGGCTGCGCGAGATCGAGCAGTACGCCAGCAACAAGGTCATCACCGTGCTCGTGGGTACGTCCCGCCGAGTGCCCCGGGGACCCAAGCGCAGACCGTGCCGCTCCGTTAAAGCTACTCGCTGAGCCCCTTCCCTTGCAGCGCCTAGCGCAGCTATCTGCAAATTCGGGGGCTCTGCTGAAGCCGGCCGTGTCTTTGGGGTGTTTTACACCGGTAGCTATGGGGCAGCCGGAATCTTGGCCGGAACGGGTCAAGGCTTGGGAAGCAGGATGCAAGGGCTGTGTGGATACTGGTGTTACGGGTGCGGCAGAGCTGGAAATCTCGATTTTCCCCATGCATTTTAGTGACACTAAAATAACTACTGGCAGCTAGGCTCTCTGTAGCAGCTTCGACTCGAGCTAAAGCAGACCTCATGCCATGTGCGTGCTGCAAGTTGGAAGGTATCGTGCCTGCGAGTGGGTTGCTGTGCTGTCCTTTCAGAACCTGCCAGTCACACCTTGACTTTTAAACGCCCTAGAATACATGAAGAACAATAGGAAAATAAATTGGAAAAAGCCAGGGTGTTTATTTATTTTTTTGGAATGCAGTGTCATTTTCTCATTAATAATTTGCCATTAAAAATAATAAAGTTCTTCAGGATCTTTATTAGTAATTTCAATTTTAAAATATCTTTACGATGTTTTAAAAAATCCTTTGAGCTTTATGTGCCCCAATGCTGTTGCACGTAAACATGAATATCTAAGGCACTTCATTACAAGACGCTCATTACAGAAATAAATAATAAATAATTTATTAATTATAATAATTAGAAAAAAACTAATAAATGAAATAATAAATGACTAGCAGAATGACAGAAATAATTAATAAATGACCAATAAATATATTTTGCAGAACATTAAGTTTTTTTATCAACAATTAGGGCATAAAATATAAATGCCAACAGCCCCAGCACCCACTTTTGCAGATGGGAACAGCCGTAGTCTGCTTGTATTAACTAGTGATTGACAAAGGATGACCTCCCCAGCTGCAGATAATCTGTTTATAAATGTAGCTTCGGTGCATACTCTGTCCAAGTAATCATCAGGAAAAAAGGATATCTGGGATGAAAGGATGGCCGTGAGCTGTGGCTTTCCAATGGAAGAGCTTTTCCTCCTAGGGATTCACATAGCAGCCTCGGAGGAGCTGCTGCTACAAACTGGGTTGCCTCTTGAACCTGCTGAGTCCCTGCACACAGTCCCCTGCTATTGCAGGTCTTGGTCTCTTATCTTTTTTGGTGAGATTAATTCATAGTAAAAACATCCTGCTTGAAGTGAAGTGGCCACTAATAGGGTGTAATCGTAGCAGACGTTTGCTTGGGGCGTTAATGAGCTGCCTGCTAAAGTGAGCCCCAAAGGAAGGGCTGGTTTCCTCTCCTGGTTGCTCTGTGAGCACCCCAGAGCCCCTCTGTGTTCCAGGCTCCGCAGCCAAATCGCTTACAAGAATATTTAATTAAAGCAGGAAAGCAGCCTTCTGTGCTGGGCTTGTTCTGAGGCTTGTAATCACATGAAAAATATCACGTTTAGCATCCCACATGTTATAATTGACATTTTAAGTGCTCCTTATAGCAAAGACAGGAGAATTTTTAATAGGTATTAAAATGGAAATCCTTTAATGTCAGCTGATTAGCTTTAGCTCTAATGCATCTGTTTGCTAACTGACTTGCATATTCACAGGGCATATTCCGTTAAATGCCCCGATATTAAATTAAGTTGGTTGCACGTATCAGGGAGGACCCAGCACTAAGGATTTCCCATCAAAAGCCCTGTCCCTACGTACACCCAATACCAAATACTTCGTGGCCACTGATTCGTTTCTGTTTCTTTTGCCTTGTGAGTCAAATTAATTCCCTTTCTAAAATCTTTTATCGATGCAGGCAATAAGATTGATTTAGCTGATAAGAGGGAAGTCTCGCAGCAAAGAGCGGCCGAGTTTTCCGAAGCGCAAGACATGTACTACCTGGAAACCTCTGCAAAAGAGTCGGATAACGTGGAAAAACTCTTCCTGGACTTAGCTTGTCGCCTGATCAGCGAGGCCCGGCAGAACACCCTCGTGAACAACGTGGCATCCCCGCTACCAGGAGAGGGGAAAAGCATCAGCTATTTGACTTGCTGTAATTTCAATTAAAGAGCTGCCACCCGATTCCCTGTCCCCCATGGGCCAAAAGGATTTTTTTTTCCCTGGGATTCGTCTCCTCGAGGGATTGCTGCCACTTTGACCCATCTGACTTGCCCCTGAGCCAGGTTGCAGATCTAGCCGCATGGCAGGCTGACAGCTCCAGCTGCATGGCAACATAGCAGAATATAACGTGGTTTCATTTCAGTTTTTTTGCGGTCTCTGGAGTTGGTTAGAAGAGCTGCGCGAGGTGCTTCGTGTAAAGGAGAACATGAGCTGTCGCACTTCCTTCTGCAGGAGAGCAGCGCGGCCTCTCTCGATGAAGATACCCAAGAGTTCAAAATCTCTCTTACAGAACAATGTGTTTGGTCCTTTTTTAAGAAAAAGAAAGAAAAAAGAATGACCGCCGACGCTGGACTATCCTGGCAATCTTCTGGGCTGCCAGCAAGTTCTGAGGACATGTATATAGAGTCTGTCCACACGTCTGCTTGGAGGGCTCTGGTGTTTGAAGCAGTGTTAAGTCTCTCATCTATAGGCACTTTCATGAACATGAAATTTAAAAAAAAAAAAGTTATATATATCGACATTTTCAAAAAATGGTTTGAGAAGCGATATGGATACAGCTCCCTTGCTCCCTTTGGTGCTAGCAGTTCAGCAAATATTCCGTAGACCAAACGTAGTCTTACTACATTGCTGTCCTCTGAATGTGTAACTTAGAGTAATTAGGGAAAAAGAACACTAATAAGCACTGTTCATTAAAAAAAAAATCTCATTACCTCTTTTCTAGCCTGAACGTAGTGGGTAAGGACTGTGCTTTTTTGATATCCGACATAGGATGGAAAGACTTTCTGGAAGTAAAAAGAAAAATGAATAACAAATCTTCCCCCTCCCAAACTAGTCATGTCCTTATGTGAAAACTTAGCTTTGGGAAACCTTATTACTGGAGTTGGAAAAAAAATGCACCAGATCCGACCAAAATATTGGGTGTACATTGACTGTGTATAAGGGTTCAAAGAGAGCACAGTTCTAAATGGCCATCTGCAATATGTCTGAGTAAATACAAAGCTTGTAGGTAACTGTTCTTGTTGAAAAGCAGGCATACAATTTTATAGAGTGTTTTTACACTAAGTGGAAATAGCAACAGGTTTCGAGTGGAATCATTCAGTGTCTAACTCATCCCGCAATCGCCATGTGGAGCTGTACCCTGAGAAGCTCTTAAAGGTATTTCCTTGGCATCTATTCTCTTTAGAGTAGCTTTCAGATTCAGGGCTGTAGAGGCATTTAATTTACTGGCTGCTTTGTACTCTCACATCTTGGACTCTGGGGTATGTATGACTGTTTAGGCAATTTCTTTCTACAAAACCCCTGAAGTGGAAGCATTTATGGAATCTGTTATATTATCACACCTCTAGGGCCATATTCGAATAAAGCATCGCAAATGTACATGTTGGCATTCGAGTGAAATTGGAAGACAGGTGAACATGCACAGGAACAATGTTTTTTTTAAGTTTGAAATCAGTCTAGCTAATCTGGATGAAATTCTGACAATTATATGGCTGTGATATACTATAATTTCAAATTAATCAGCTTAATATCATTTGGCACTTACTGATGATTATAACTGAGCTTTTGTATTGACCTAAAAAGCTGCCAGTAAGTATTTCTTATAAATAAAAACCTAGAATTTTCAAATGTTTTTTTTCCCCATTTTCCTAGAAAACAAAGCAAACACATTCTTTGGGCTGTATAATTTTGTGCCTTTGATCCTCAGTGAGAACTGTGTGTGTTTGACAGAGAGTAGCATAAAACGTGACCATTTTAATGAAGGTTTCCTTGCTCTTGTTTAAGTCACTTCCTTCTTTTATAAGTAGCGATCCAAATGAAATGTAGCAGTTGTGGTACAAAAGTCGTGTGTCACTTAGGTAACGTTTTGTAAAGTGCTGCTCTAAGTGTTAGATGTTGGGGACGTGGCACACTGGCCTTTACTGGTTCTTTTCAGGCTCTGCTCGTGCTGCACGCCAGAGAATTCAGAAACGTTTGGGACTTCCAGCTCTCACAGACCATCCTGCTCTGACAGAGCTGATGCTCTGCAGCTCTCAGCTAGTTGTTTAAAACAGGACCCATGAGGCTATATACAAAAGTGGTACTGGAGCTAGAAATCAGTGTTATGTATATTTAATTTGTGAAAATTCTTACTCTCCAGGTGGTGGGCTTGTTGGAAAGCGTAAAACTTAAAAGCTGATGGTCAGGTAGGACAGACAACAACAAATTTGTGCTCCACTGCAGGAAAGACAGGGATAACGCAGCTCTAAGTGTTCATTTTTCTGGACAGGCAGCACGTGCAGAAACAGATGTGTGAGACACCTACACCTCTGGTGGAGCTTTCATGACTGGATGACCTTCCTGCAGCCTAAGACCAGTGTGAATAAATTTGAGCTAAGCATATGTTGCTAGTGAAAACCAGAATGTTATAGAAATATTTGCAAGCAGCACTGAGAGTCATGTGAAAACACCAGTGAGAGGGGTACAAATGAAAAGGAGTATTGATCATAGGCAGAAAGCTGATTCTGAGCTGGCCAGGTACTTTGCATTGCTGCTGAGTGCCACTGGAAACACACTTGAGCATGCTCCTTGCATCACCTCTGGGTGTTGAACACTAATGCATCATCATGAGCGAACAAGCTGAATTATCAAATAGCAGAAATTGCTCACTTTGTTTCTTCCAATATTCATCCCGAGGTTCCCAGAAGTCTCTTTTCCAGAGACGATTTGCTCTACCAGCTGCCTCCCAGGGGGCAGGTGTCTGTTCTGTCCGTAGCAAATCTTCCAAGGCTCCGTCTCCAGGCAGCGAGGTGCTTCTCCAGCGGATGATGGAGCAACAAGGGCAATTTCTCCAGGGACGAATCCCAGATCCGTCTTTCAGAATTCATTCTGGGCCTGAGTGCGTTAAGGCTTTTAGGAGTGCAGACTGTTACAGGGCAGTGTAGGAAGCAGTGGTTGCATGTCCAATGTTTTATAAGGTCGTAAGCCCAAGCTGTATTTTAAAACCTGTCTGCCTGTTTTTCAGTTAACAAATACTAGCCATTGGATATTTAAGTGACATCTTGTGATAACTCTTTTGCAGGAGTTATTTTTTGTTGGATATTTAAGTGACATTTTGTCGTGATAACTCTTTTGCAGGAGTTATTTTTATACACCTTCAAATTTTACTGCATAGAACCCACTTCTCCTTGTGGGTTTGAGGGCTAATCTCCTCTCCTGCAGTCTGGTCCTTTGCTGAAGGCTTTGCAGCCAGAGGAGGAACTTTATTAGCTACAAATGACAATTTAACGCTGTGGTGCGTTGCTTAAAGACTTGAAAAAATAGCAGGAGATTATTAAAAAAGTCGCAATTTTATGTTAATAGTGTCTCCATCCATGGCAGACACATTCTAGCTAGTTAAAAGGATTTTTGCAAGAGAACAGTCAGTAAAAAGTGTGATGCTTGCTGGGTCAAGAGTCCAAAAGCTGTGCAGGATTGATACCAAAGGGCCAAACATGACTGGAAATGTTCCCTACCAAGAGCAGTGTAAGTTACTGCCTTTAGTGCAGTGACTAGATTTTGCTGTGTTTTTCAGGACAATATATTCACAGGCATGGAATAATGTTATTTCTGGGTGCACATGTTTTTTTATTAGTAGTCCCATAACGGCATCTGTTCTTTAAACCTGTTAGCACAATGACTAGCTCCAAGAGAAGCCAGTACGAATGGTCAACAGATGTTTGTCTGCAGACGTAGCAGGGACATTCGTAAAGGCATCTCCTCAAAACGGGCTCATCTAAACTCGGTTTGTTCAGACCAGGCACTGATTCCATCAGGCTCATCTTGGATGAGCCACTGCACGTGCTGTGCTTCAGATCACTGTCTGTAAAGCACTCTCTCTAAATGGTTTTTTGATCATTACTCAATAAAAACACAAGTTATCAGGCAGGATGCTTGGGTTTTGCTGTGGAATGCGTGAAAAAAGCTCTCGATCCCGTTAGTGCTGGTCATCCCTGGAAGTGTCCCCGCCAGCTACAGGGGGCTCCTGCTATGCTCTGTCGAGGGGTTAATGGCTATCAAATTCCTTCAGCATCAGCGTTAGTGGCAGCAGCCTGAGGTTCACGCTGCAGACGGTGGTTTGGAAGGAGGGAGAGTGGGAATGAGTGATTTGGAGGCACAGTGGGTGCACACGGGTAGGACAGTGGCCTTTCCTGAGCTTTTGCTGACAAGGGATGCAATTAGCTTAGCAGAACTCCCGGGCTTTGCAGTGAGCGTTATCCCTAAGGACTGCTGTTTGTTCAGCTGCTTTTCCACTTGTCCTCTTTTCAGCATGAGGAAGTGTCCACAAATCCTGCTGAGATACTGAGCTGGCAAAATTCTGTGTTTGGAGACTGATTTCATTTAGGAAACAAGCAAATTTCTCAACTGAAATGTCAGAGTGAACGTGCGGGACACACTGCTCTGGGGAGCATCGTGGTCAGATATGGCTGTGAACATGAAAACAGCAGCCCCCTCACGGCTAATTGCCAGTTTGGTGTGATTTCTCTGGATTTTTGTAAGAGAGGCTCTGAATTTGACTTTCATCTGATTTCTCGAGGATTCTGTTGCTTCCAATATCAGGGTATCTGATATCCCTCCTAGGTGCTGCTCCTATAAATATCTATCAAGCAGAAGAGCTTTTTGAATTTGTCCAGTTAGAAAAGCTGGTGTTGGTGGAAGCCTTGTGAATTCCCCGTGAGCGAATGGGAGATTTTCCTAAATGTTGATGGTGATGGAAGATCAGGATTTGTGTTCACTGGGAAAACAGGCAACGGGAAATCACCCTGGGGTGGATTCATGATGCAGGATGAGCATAACAGGGCTCTGAGCGTTGTCAGTGGAAGATTGTCCTGGTTTTAAGAGGGTAGCCAGGGTTGGCAGTCCAGCTCATCACAGCCCACCACAGGCTGTGGTTTGTGTCTCTGCTTTATCATTAATCACTAGTTATTAGCATTTGCTGGATGTCATCCATTTCTTTGAAGTTCTCCCTTCCCAGCAAGGTTGGAAAATGATTTTGTGCTGTGTCTGGTGTATGGACACCAACCTCGGAGCTCCCCAGAGCTGGAGAATCCCAACTCCTGCATGAATCCGGTCATTCCTGGTGCTGCCGATGCCTTGCAGTGGCGCTGGCATCACGGCGAGAAGGGGAACCAAAGCACTGTGGGGATGCACAGTGGGGA